GGTAATTAAGTCCCAGTCATCAACAAGCCATGGTTTCAGTTCTTCAGGAATCTTGACTTTAACTTCAACTCTGTTCATGAATGTTTCCTCGTTTTCAACAGTAGGATCTACTCGGGCCCTTTTCTTGCGAGGAGGCTGAGGTGTCTCACTGGTACTGCCACCATCTCCATTTCCAGGTGTTTTCTGCTTGTTCTTTTTTGTTTTCACTTCAACATTTTTCTGTTGCAGACCAGATGTCTTCTTTCCTGGGGCAGCCCCTCTCATCTTCCCCTCTGCATACTGCTCCTGATTGGCTTTTTGAAGTTCTCGCTGTTTCTGCAGATTGGTGTCCACGTATTTGAGTACTCTGCTTTCTGGAACCCATTCATCCCAATTTTTATTCCAACCACTGTAATGTATAAAATATTTCACTTGTTTGTCCTTTATGGCAACCTTTACACACTTTGCTTCATAAAGCAGAGGTCCATGAAAGCACAGCACCCGCTCACCCTCCTGGAATTTAGGCTTCAGGTCCTGCTTCGGCGCCATTTATAAGTGATTCGCCGCCGCCTCCTCCTTCTCCCACCACCCCCGACTACCGCCCCCTACTCTCTACCCCACCCAACTCCGCGTCAGACGCGCCGTCAGGCACCGCCAGCTCTACATCCTGGGCCCGATTTCGGCACTCAGTAACTTCTTAAGTAAATAAGAATACAAAAGAGAACTGGGCAGTGAGTATGGGTATCAAAATCCATAATCTTCTCATCCAAATAAGATCCAGCTGTGGATGAGGCCCCTCTGTGTATCTCCTTAAATACAGCTCCTAGGAGTACAGTTCCTCTCAATCTGTAGATCTGTGAAACTAAAGAGAGAGTTATTTGCCTCACATACACCCAAAATACAATGTTCACATAGGCACAGGGCAATTGCTATAGATACTCCTGGTCAAAAAACGGGGCAAATGAGATACACAAAGCAGTCACTGCCCATAGCAATTCTGAAACCCAACAGGGGGAATGTTGGAAGGTCCTCTATTAGTTTTCAAGGCCTGAGAACAGTTCTCCATGGCTCTCGACATCATTCTCTGGGTTATTGTTCCACCTTCTGAGTCATTCTCCCTTTTTCATGAAAGGTAGCTCGTGTTTGTAGCTGAATGATTTTCTCAGCCTGCTTCCTGCTGGTAGAATTTTAGAGGCCCAATGGCCTCTTTTCATTTCGTCCTGTCTCTGTCCCTTTCAGTCCAAGCTGGTAGTATTTTTGTTGATGTAGTTTTCTCAAAAACTTCGTGGGGCTTCTGTGAAATTCACTGAGGTGCATGCCATTAGACAAATGCCACACCCATAAATCTCTTCTACATCACTTCTTCTTACACTGGGCTCTTGCTGATAAGGCTGAGAGACAACATTGTTTTTTTTTCTTGTTAAGAACTGTTTACAAAAGACTTGTTGTTTTGTTTTTGTCTTTTGTTTTTGTTTTTGTTTTTGCCGCTGAACTAGTTTCTTTTTTTTTAAATTTTTTGTTTATTGCAGTAACATTGGTTTATAACATTGTATAAATTTCAGGTGTACATCATTATACTTCTATTTCTGCGTGGATTACATCATGTTTTCATGTTCACCACACAAATACTAATTACAATCCATCACCACACACATGTGCCTAATTATCCGTTTCACCCTCCTCCTTCCCCGCTTCTTCTCTGGTAACCACCAATCCAATCTCTGTCTCTATGTGTTTATTTGTTGTTGTTCTTATCTACTACTTAATGAGTGAGATCATACAGTATTTGATCTTCACCTTCTGACTTATTTCACTTTGCATAGTACCCTCAATGTCTATCCATGTTGTCACAAATGGCTGGATTTCATCGTTTTTCATGGCTGAGTAGTATTCCATTGTGTATATATACCACATCTTCTTTA